TTCCTGAAAACTAATTTCCCATTGGTAATATTGCCTGTCAGTCTGAAGAATATTTTCATAGTAGTGCAGATTGTGAGGCAGAAAATTTTCTTAGCTATTTTAGAATTCTGGATCAACATTTTTTTTTTCTTCTACATTTTAAAGATAATGCACTACTGTCTTAAGGCATTGATTGTTTCTGATAAGACACCCACCATTGTTTGAATCACTTACACGTTTTGAGTTTCTCACCTGGATGGTTTAGAAATTGTCTGTCTTTTAAAAATTTACTATTACATAATGTTTTAGGGGCCAAAGTGGGCATGAAGACTTATTAACATCTACAAGCAAGTCATTACAGCATGATGTATGAAAACTCAATTCAAATATGACACTATCTACACTGAGAAAGCACAGCTTAAGGGCTCAGTCTCCTAGGGTTATGCTTTATTTCAGATGTCAGTGTTAAGCCCAGGCTGTCAGCTGGGCTTCTAACCAATCAGCTACAGACTGGAGTTTCCCCCGGCCCCTTGCTTAGATTTCAGGTGCAAGATGCAAGTCCAGGTTGTTACCTACATTTCTGACAGACTGACACCAAGTCAGAGATTAAGAGCCCCTCTCTTCAGGTTGAATTAACTTGCTAGAATAGCACACAGAATTAACAAAACCTTTTTACTCAATAGGTCACAGCCCAGGAACAGCCATATTTAATAAATACATAGGGTAAGGTACTTGGAAGAGTACAGTGCTTCCATGCTCTCTCCAAGTGCACCATTCTCATTACCCCAACAGCTTGCCAACCTGGAAGATCCTGAAGTCCCTCCTCTGGGAATTTTTTTTTGAAGGATTCATTATTTAGACAATATTTATTAACTTGATGGCCTTGGAATGGATTCAACCTTCATTCCTCCTCACTCCCTCTTTCAGGAAGTCTCAGGATGAGACTGAAAGTTATAACCTCTATTCACATTGGTTCCCTGGCAACTGGGTAAAATGCTTGAGAACCATCTACTTATTGAAGTCTACATGGAATTGGAAGCAACCTGAAATTATTTTTCTGAAAGTTGATTCAGATTAGAATTTTATGCACGGCACCACCGCAACTCCCACTCCATATAATTCTCTGTGAGAATGAAGATTTGGATTCCTCTTTTATAATCAGAATTTACCTTTTTTAGAAACTATTATTTTTTTTCTGAATGCAGCCAAATAGATTACTGTCTTAATAGATGTGTATATATTTATTTTTGGCTTTTTCAAAACAATTTGAACTTGGGCTAAAGAAAAAGAGGTAAAAAGTGGAGTTACCCGAATAATCTCAAACTTTCCTTCTTTACAATAAGGTATTCTTGGCACTTTTTTTTCATTCTGTCATGAAGTGACCTTAAGATGTAGATGAGCACTTTCTCAATATGCTGCTAGGAAGTAGAATATATGATAGTTTCTTACATAAATCTAATTAAAATAAAGCTATAATGAAATTAGGGGACTATAATTCTTAAATAGTAATAGTTTTCTTTGGGGGCACTAGTAATTCTGCTATTATAGTAAAATATAATTGTAGCCTTCTTAATATAGTTGTTACTTGAATGCTATTGTGGGTTGCACAAGCCCAGTTCATAGGAAGATGGAAGCTGTACACTAAATATGAAAAGTGGAAGCTTCAGGCTCATACTTGCCATTTTAAAGAAATAAACATATTTAGCTCCTCTGCCCATATTTTTTTTTGAAATTTCTCAAAATAGTAAAAATATGCATGCTATGTTGAAATGATAAAACTTTTTCATTGAAAAAATAAAAAAACTTAACCTTTAAAAAAAAGTGTGCCACTAATTTGATGGGATATATGCACTCCTGTGTTCACTGTACCACTATTTACAATACCCAAGTTATGGAAACCACACAAGTGCCAACAACAAATGAATGGACTCTAGAGATGTGGTACAGATGTAATGGAGTATTATTCAGCTATAAAAAAGATGAACTCCTGCTATTTGATGACATGGATGGAAGCTGGGGGATTATAATAAGTAAAATAAGCCAGAGGGAGAAAGACAAATATTGGATGACTTCACTCCTATGTGGAACACAGCAAAACAAAACAGATACTGACAGACTAAACTAAAGCAAAGTCTGGAAAATACTTTCCAAAACTGAGGCCATTAGATGGAAAGGTGGGGTCAGGACAAAATGGGGCAGGGGCCCAATGATATAAATAAGTGGAAATAGGGGCTCTGCTCTGTGGGCAATGATGCCTATCTGAGGTGTGTGGACCATTCCTTTGAATCATAAAGTTTCTTAAATACAGTGATGTAAACCAGTATTACCTCAAATAAATAAATTACTTAAAGAATTAACAAGTCTAATTTACTTCTTATTCAGCTATTATTAAGGCATATAAAAATAAAGAACTGAGCTACAATTTAATAGAGGTGATTACAAAGCAGTATAAGAAAATGTGTCCTCTCAAGCTATTTAACTTCTAAGTCCACTGTAACTCAGTATACTGCAAGTGTGGAAAGTGCTTTTTATAGTCTTCAACATCACAACAGCCTTTAGACAAGTTCTGTGATGAGCAATGAATATTTCTGCTCCTTATCTGAAGATCTATTTTCTAAATGCAACCGAATAGATTACTGTCTTAATAGATACATATATACTTAATAGATGCAAAATACTACCTCTTGCCTTTAAAGAGAGCAACAATGGCATTTAATCAACAAACATATCATTATTAACTAAAAAAAAGCATTCCTCTGCTAGATATACTTCACATTAGAAAAGAAAAATTTTAAGACTGGTGAGATGAAATGCTGATACAAATTCTTAAAATTTTTTTATTCTTAAAATGTCTTATCTTGGTATGAGTAACTGAAATTATTAACAATATGGAGGTTAAAGATAATAAGCTATACCTTGTGAATCTAAAAACTCAACTCACTCAACTAGTGGACCATACCGAAGACACTAATAATCCAGCACCTAAAAATGCACTAACAACTCTACCAGAAATGGTAAGAGATGACACAGCTAAGAATTACAAAAGTTAAAAACTGTCAAGTATGGTAAGAATACCTTATTTTCCAGTTTGTAAGATATATAGGAAAATACAATTTCAAGTTGTTCTACTCCATTTTAGAATAATCTTTAGTTGTTCTAAGAAATCCAGTAGAGGTTAAGAACATGGATTCAGCAGTCAGATTGGCAGTGTGCTGATCGCTGATCTAGATATGTAATAATGATAGCATCTACCTCACAGGATTTCAATAAGGGTTAAATGAATATGTGCAAGAATGTTTATAAAGTACCTGGCACACAATAAAAGCTATACAAATGCTTATTATTATTACTGTATTTCATTTTCATTATACCATCTATTCTGGAAAACTTCTAGCATTATTCAGTAACTGAAAATTTGGTTTACTCTAAATTGCCAGAAAAAGAAGTTTAACACTGTATATTGATGAAGCCTCCATATGTAACATTTCAATCAAGTGATAGGAAGGAAGAGTTAGGAATGGCCCTCAGGCAGTCCCCATAAGTCTCACAGGAACATCCTTAATGGAAAGATATAATAACTAAATTACATGAAACATTAAATTAAACACAGCTATTTCTCAATCATGATTCATGATGGTATTTCTCTCCAGCTACAGAATCAGAAAAAACTGTTTTAACTTCCCATTAAGTGAACGTTTAACATTGACATTATTTTTTAAACTAAGAGGAAATCAGGAAGCAGCAAACATGTATTAAGTCAGTAAAAATTCTACAGTATTTTAATTTACCAGTTATAAACAGGATATATTTGCCTTAAACAGTCCAAAAAACAACTGCATATGGAAATCATAACGGTATGCCAAAGTTCTAAAAGAAAAAAAAATTCAAGCAATCAAGAGACAATTCATAATTTTAATCAGACAGTCTATGGGAAAAATAAAACAAAATTAGAAAACTTAGATCTTTTGTGGCTGAAGAGAGCCACACATAAATATTAAAATGCAAAACATATCATGGGATAGGTTTGAATATTTCATGAGGTATTATACTGAAATACAGAATTTAATAAATTAAATTTTATAACCTAGTAATATCTAAATGTAAAAAACACTGAGCTTTCTTGTAGTAGTTTTACTGTATATATGCTAAATATAAATGCAAATAACTTCAACTTAAACACACTTATATGGGATCCTGTGTCATTGTCCAACTAGCTTCTACGTATGCTTTAGATGACATTGTAGAGTAGGAAAGGTTGCTTATAGACTATAAATTAGTTTTGTAGGCCATGGAAATAAAGGAAACAGTCACCATGTTTTTTTTTTTTCTAAACCTTTACGTAGGTGTACATTACATAGTTGGTGGAATACTAATTAACAGTTTTAAGAATTATTTCTGTCAAAGTCATTTATGCTCAAAGTTTGAAATTTGAATAATCTTAATATCCCTGAAACTAAACAGAAAGAAAAAAAAATTGTCTTTTATCTCAAATCTCCTACCCCCCTACTAGTCTTTTTCAGGTCAAGAGTCTTTTCAATTCTTTTCGCTATTCTTATAGCCGATACCTCTAAATTTCTAGTATCTGTAAATATATTTTTGTCATCAACAATTCATTTTAAAAAGAATGGTTCTGAATCCCAATACCATCATTTACTAGTTCTGTTACACTTAAAGAATAACATTTTTAGATCTTAGTTTCCTTGTCTATAAAACAAGAATAATATTTACTAGTTCAGTTACATTTAGCAGTTAATATTTTTAAGCCTTAGTTTCACTGTCTATAAAACAAAAATAATAACATTTACCACATAGATTATTATGAGGATTAAATGAGGCAACAATACTATCTATGTAATAGGTGTTCAAAATTTTGCTATAATATAGTGATAATGGCTGCTATTCTTACCTTTTGGTAGGTGAGGGATTTGAATTCACTTAAACACCCCTTTCTTTATCCTCCTAAAATAGTTATAACATATCATTTTTTTTGTTAATTTAGTGTTTTCATCATCTTCATGTCCTTTTTATATTTAAAGTAACTCTAGATTAAAGAAAATCTCAGTCTGTATTCACATCAAAACAATTTATGAGACTGGTAAACCAGTCAAAATGCTGGACCATGAGAATATTCTAGTTAACTTTCAATTTGGCAAATTCCAATACATACAGATATATGGACTCTGAGAAACTGGGTTCAGAACTTTGACTGCAGTTTTAATATAACTTAGTTCAGATCTCTGTGAAATACATTGCTGCAAATATATTTTTATTTTTTACCTTTTTGTCTTTTATTTATTTTCACAGATAAAAAGGTTTAAGATGTACACATAATAGCTTTTCATTCTATGCAATGCTTTCCAGATTGATAGCATTTCTTGATACACTATTTTTCAGTAATTAATTTAAAATGAAAACTTCTATTTACAGTTTACAATTTTAAGTGGTCTTTAAATTGTAAGAAGTAATACAAGTTGCACAAAGTAGATACCTGAGATATCTGAAATTCTTAACATTTATGCAACCATTTTATGCTAAGGAAAAATATGACTTAATGAGTTACAATCTATTTAATAAAGTACTTTAGTAAATTGCAGGCACTTTAAAAGTAGAAATAAGAAGTCAGTTATATAATTATGGAAGCATAACAAATCAATTCACTCTTAATTTGCAAATGTAGTATCTTCATTCAACCAACAAATAAAATTAGATAATATATATCAAGGTTCTGCTATTCTTCCTCATTAAAGTTATTTACTAAGGATAATGAATATGTCTTATTTACCAGGTATCATCAATTTAGGACAATGTCAGACTGGTCTATGTAGCAATGTTCAATACATATTCACTGGATAAATTCAGCTAATTTGGTCCCAGATAATTTACAAATGCCTGACAGTGAAACACTAAATACTATATAAACAAAGCATTATTCTTTTTAGCATAAACAAAGCACACCATTTAGTATATTTTATGTTTTATTGGTGGTGACATATAGTAAAAATTTAAGCTATATTAATTACCATGGTCCTTCAAAATATTTAAAGTTTTCTCATAAGCATAATTACACTGTAAAGTCATATCATAAACTAAGAAGTTTAGAAGTTAAAAAAATAAAATGCATTATAGATATCATAAATATTATAAATCATGATGCGATATTGAGATGGCTTACAACTCTGACTCTAAATATTCTAGTTACAATCAAATGCAGACTTTTACTAACAAGTCAATAATTTTGGTGATCTCTTCAGAGGTTTTAGTTTTCATATAATGGTCAGATTAGCATACCTGCAGTTCTATGTTCTTAAAAAGCACATTCAGAGACCATAAATGGAAACAGAGGATTATAAAGTACTTTTAGATGCACAAACATCTTTTAAAAAATATAAATATTCATTTTGCCTAAATATATCCTTTGAATTGAAAATTGATGAGGTTTCCAAATATTATCTTTTCATGTCTTCACAGCCTGGATCTGATCTGATAACAAAAAACAAACAAAAATTATCAGTTTCTTCAAGGCAAAAGATATTTTCTAAAGCAATTCAAAACAACTCTATGTGAACATGATCAAAGTCTATGCATTCAACATTTTTTTAAGAAAGCACAATTCATTCTATAGTTTTTATTTTTATTGAAGCTGTATATGAATAAGTAATCAACTTGTTTTATCTATGTTGCCTCTATAAAAACTAGTAGTTTTTTTCTTGCATGATGTCATCTCTTTTCCTCTCTCCATTGGCAACTGCTTCCAACTTCCTTTTAGGTGATTACCACTGATGTATAAATAATATACCTTTATTATTATTTCTTGAACTATCAGTTCCTTCAATGCAACATGAGGCTTCAGGTCCTACACACTCCTCTACTGCTACACTGCAAACTTCATAATGCATATGATACTTCCAATCTCTTAACATAGTAACGGAATAATTATCAACATGATGATCATATAAATGCTGTCTGTGACTGTGACGGCTGATAAATCCTGGCTGCTTTTCTTTCCCTCTACTGTATATTTTTATCCACCTGGAGACAGTAATTATTCTTATCTTGAATTCTACCTGTATGCTTAGTTTTTTTTTTTAACCCACTACTTCCACATTGCTTTAAACCTTTATGAAGTATATTATGCAGTGTATCAATTTCAGTTCTTGAAGTATTTTCTCCTAGTCTCCCAAAACTCTAACCTCTTTTTTGTGCCTGCAGATATTTTCTTACAAGAGCTCTCATTATATTTCCAGGGTCTCCATTATCATCCTAGAATTCCTCCCTGCTTTCTTGTGTTGGTTTTCCTGTTTTATGATCTTTATTTTCCTCTTCTATTTTATGGCTACCTCATTAAAAGCTATAGAAAGGAAATTCGTGAGACTACATGGCTAAAGATGACTTACTTCTACAGTTATAGTCCACAGATAACGGAGGATGATTTATTATTTTTCTTCTTAAACTTTCTCAAGCATTGCTTAATTATCTTATAGCTTCCAAATGCTGCTATTAAGAAGCCTGAGGTTATTGTTTCCTTATCCTTTACATGAAACTTCTTTCTTGTAGAATTTTGTTTTCAGAGTTAAATTTTAATAATGGTGTGCGTTGGTGTGGGAGTATTTCATCTACTACACTGGGCTCTCAAGCCTTTCAACTAAAAACCCATCATTCAGTTCTGGAAAACAGTTTGATGATTTATTTAATGTTCCACTCCTTTCTATTTTCACTGTTACTGCATTCTAAAATTCATCATAATTAGATAGTAGGTCTCCTAAACATGAACAGTTATTATATCTTTTCTGTCCACTTTTTGTCTTTGTTGAATTTTGGAGAGACTTTATTTTCTTTTAATTCATTCAGTTTTCTACTTCCACTATTTTAATTTTCTAAGAATTCCACATTTGTTATTCTTTTTTAAGTAGTATCTCTACCATGCTTCCAAATGTAATACATTTTTTATGTCTCTTTGAAGACGCTCTAACAGTTTTCTGAAATGTTCTCCATAAAAATTCTATTTTTACTAACTTGCCTTTCTTGTTTTTTCATGTTCCATAATTTATAATATCCTGGTCTTCAAATACCTACTGACCCTCTGACATCTATTCATCTATATGAAGGAAAACAATAAAGCTGATTGGACTTTGGAAATGTTTGCAAGACTTCTTAAATGTGTACATCATTCTAGTACACCTGGTTAAGTCATTTCCTTGGGAATCTTTAATGTTAATTCTGGGTCCATCTTCTGCCTATGTACTGCCATTGTTTCACTGTTCTCTGGGAGGCAGAAGAATGTTATAAATAAAAACTTGTAGCAATTCCTCATGTTCAGTTCAGTGGCACAGCACATAGTTTTGCTTTTCTCTCCAGTCCAAAGATATGTTGTTCAACTCTCTACAGAGACTGAACCTGCCTTTTCGGGGAAGGCTGCACTGGGTTGTCTGTTTCAGATCCACCTTCATCCTTATTTCCACTCAATTGCTGAGTCTTTGAGGATCTGAAATGTGAAGCAGCATGCTTTCCAACAGCTCTATTAACTGATTCATCCTACATCAGATACCCATCTTTGTAAAATAAGTTGACATTTTTACCCCTCCTATTCTTTTGCCCTTCTGTGTTAACACCTTTAAATAGGTCTCTTCACTGTTAGTGATATGTGAGAAATGAAACCGTGTGTTTAACACAGTATGTTTTTTTTGGGCTACCAATACACATAGTTAGTAAATGCCAGGCTTATTAAAACCTGGGAGCATTATCTACTTTTTCTGTATAAAGTCATAAAATGAATGTTTCATTAGTCTTGTATGGTTTTTCTCTTTATAAGAATTCATTTGAAAGTTTCAGAGCTACAACACTTCTAGCTCTGTAGTGGCTTTTGAATAGTCTCTTAGGGGTTCTTGTCTTTGGACTGTTATATACATAAGTAGTTACAGAGAATACAAAAGGAAATAGGATGATGGTACAAAATGTACCCTTTAATCTTCTGCACCCAATTATTCAACCTTTAAAATAAAGAATAACTCAATTCAAAATGAACTAGAGGCCTCTTATTTAATATGCTAGGTAATATAAGAATTCTAGAAGGAACATGAAGAGATTTAGTTCAAAACTTCAGAGTTACATTTACAGAAAATGCTTTGGCTAGTAAAAAGTTACCAGTGGTTATACTCTCAACTCCCAAATTTACTGCTACCTATTTTGCACACTAGATTCTGACTGCTTTTAAAATCCAGAGAGTGAGAGTCAGCATCAACAAATTATAAACAATTTACTATTACCTGAGAATTACAAACAAAAGACCTCACTGAGATACAAACAGGTTCATTTTTTAATGATGTACTAAATTTACTCCTCCACTAAATAGAACAGTTAGATAAAAGTAAACTTAACATGTATTGAATTTTTTCTTATTCCAGACACTGTATTAACACAGGATTTCATTAATATATATAGCAATAATTATGGAAAGTATTTAATATTCGATGAAAAGTAACTTCACAATGTAAGCGATTGTACCTAATAATTACTGGGATAAATCTGTTAGACTGTGTTTTACTACTATTCCATTGCTGTTCATATAAAATGGGGATACTACTACTTATTTGTAGAAATTTTTGTAAAGATCGCACGAGATAACATGGCAATATACACTCACAAAAATACTCCCAGTAATATTCTCTTTAAAAAAATTGAGAGGTTGGAGGAGAAAAGACAATAGGTAGCAAGAAGGGTTGGCAAGTGGCACTGTGATGTTGGATAATTACTGACACCTAGTGGCCTCATTTTTACAGACAAAATAAAGCAAAAAAAAAAAAATGGCTGCAATGTAAATTCCAGATGAGTGACAAAAACAGATATATAGGCCAATGGAGCAGAATTAAGAGCCCAGAAATAAAATCACTTGATGGTTAATCTACAACAAAAGAGCCAAGAGTCTATATACTGGAGAAAGGGAAGTCTTCAATAAATAGTTAGAAAAATTGGACAGAAACATGAAAAATAAAGCTAGACCATTCACTCACACTATATACAAAATTTACCTGAAGATGGCTTAAACTTGGATCAAAGACCAGAAATCATAGAAAACATAGGTAAAACACCCGCAACACAGAATTTAGTGATGCCTTTGTGGATTCATCTCCCAACAGCAAAAGAAACAAAGGAGCATGTAAACAATGGTAACTGCGTCAAATGAAAAAGCTTCTATACAGCTAAGGAAAGTATCACTAGAAACTGTCAGGGAAATGCAAATCAAAAGGACGATGAGATACCATATCATATATATGAGAACGGTCCATATAAAAAGACCAAAATTACAAGTGTTAGTAAGGATTGGAGAAAAGGGAAATTTGACACTATTGGTGGGAATGTAGTCTCTATGTAAAATAGGATGGAGATTCTCCAAATATTAAAATTAGATCTATATGATCCACAATTACCCTAGATATCTACCCAAAGAATGCAAAAACACTAATTTTGAAGGGAGATATATACTCCTATATTCATTGCAGCACTATCTATGGTGGCAATCTAAGTGCCCAAAGACAGATGAACAAATTAGGAAGACATGGTATATCCATATACCATGGATATCAAAGATATAATGGATATAATAGAGTAACACTTTGCTATAAAAAGATAAATGGTTGATGTTTGCAACATGGTTGAAACTAGAAGGTAGTATGCCCAGCAAAATATGCCAAAAAGAGAGGAACAAATACTAGCTGGTATCATTTAATAAAGGGTCATATAAAACTAAACTAGAAATATGACTATAGAATTGAGGATACCAGAATGGAGGGTGAGGGAAAGCAAAGTGGGGAGGGAACTCAAATGACTACAGGTGCCTTGGTGGGGGGTTGTGTGTTGGTAACATACCTGAAGAGTATAATCTTATACCTTTAAATCATAAAGTGTGTAAATCAAGTGTTGTGATCTGAAAAATCAGGTGACTACCAGCCTACTTACAGTAAGTACTATGCTTTAGATGACTTTATTATAAGCTTTACTAATTTCATCCATACTGCATCTGCACTGTGAGCAATAATAAGCACTTGTAAAGTGAGAAATCAGGGCTAAAATATTATTATCTCCTCAGGAATATTCCTCTGGAAGGTGTTTTATGAAGGAATCGGTCCTGTAACTCTGACCATTTTTTTTAGCAGTCTAATAAACCTTTGTTCACACAGAAAATAGTCTACACTTTGATGATCTCTCTGGATTTGAAAAGAGATGAAAACTTACTCTGCAAAAGAGTTAACAGTAAATACATGAGACTATGTCATTGGTTTTTATATGTAAATCTAAATGCAAAAGATGTTCTGAACTTATACCTCTTCAGTTTACTTCAAGAACTATGAAATCTATCCTAACATGATAAACAAAAAGGTATCTTGTTCAATTTCTGCTAGTTTACTATATATTTTTAAAGATTTATTTATGCATACAGAACTGGGGTACAGGCCAGAGGTGCAGGGGCGGTAAGAGGATTCACCAGAGAGAGAGTGGAAAGCAGAACAGGGAGACTGATAAAGTACACCGCTGAGGGGTGCAGCAGGTGGGTCAGGAGAGGTCTGCCGCGCCATGTGGCTACCTCCAAGGCAGGGGACCGAACTCATGCTGAAGTGGCTTTAGCTTCTTAGTGCTGTGCTTTAACCAGCTGTGCCACCAGGGTGGGCCCTAGTTTAATATTTTTATTTTTAAGTTCAAAGTTGAAAAATATTAGAAAAATATTGTCAGGTTCACAGAAAAATCTTACTAGTCCCTCTGATCACTATTTCTTGATAGGATTTCTCAGGTTTCACTAAATTGTAAAAAATATTACTAGAATGTTCTTTGCAGTTTAATGGTAAATGCCATTACTTGCTCAGAAGCAAGTGTAAGCTACTTACTATTACAGAAATACAAAAGAGAAAGTAATACAATAGTCCTTGTAGTTAACTGAAACACTATTAAATGCAAGTTTAGTTCTCTGAACCAACGGAAATATTAAACCTCCTTGTGTGTGGGCAAGTAGGCTACCCTCAGATTCACCATAATGTGGTTTCCAACATGCAGAAGAAAAAAAAGAAATCCTACAAACTTGACATTAAAAGGTCAGTGTAGGCCCTCCCTGGTGGCGCAGTAGGTTAAAGCACAGCACTAAGAAGCTAAAGCCACTTCAGCGTGAGTTCAATCCCTGTCTGCCGTGGAGGGATCCACATGGCTCAGCAGACCTCTCCTGACCCGCCCGCTGCTTCCCTCAGCAGTGTCTTTGTAGGTCTTCCTGTTCTATCCCCACTCTGTCTCTGGTGAAGCCTCTCACGGCCCCTGCACCTCTGACTTGTAACCCAGTTCTGTATGCACAAATAAATAAATCTTTAATAAAAAAAAAAAAGTGTAGGAGAAAGCAGAATTTTTAGGGCCTCCCTGGGGACCAAAGGGTTAAGCCTCAGTGCTCTCACTGCTATAGCCTGAGTTCAATCCCCAGGTAGGGGCAGACCCACATTTGGCCCTGCAGACCAGACCTGTCCTGTCTCGCCCCTGCTTCTCTAATCAGTAAATCCATTTGTTCTGCCCCCTACTCTGCGTCTGGAGAATTCTTTCACCTGCACACCTGAGTTCTTTTACACAAAATAAAATGAAATAAAATAGAATTTATAGCCACAAGGGTGTAACTAGAACTTAGCTTACTATTCACCCTTACACAGGACAGGGAGACTTCTAGTAGGAACAATTCTCAGCTGTCTGGTTTACACATGGAATCTTTTTGCCTAAACTTTTCAGAATCATGTAACAAAAAGGAACCTCATTTCATTCATATCTGTTGCTCTGTCTGAGTCATTGTGCTTTAAATCATTCCTGTTGTTTAGTAGGATATGTAACTTTATAGAAAAAATGATATATTTAATTTAAATTTACTATATTTAATATAGTAGACTGTACCAACTTATGACAACTATTCTGATGACTAACAAATAGAATTTTAAATATATAAATTGCATTTATATTCTAGAAATGCATAGAATATCAGTATTTATAACACAAAATATAAGTGTTGAAAGTTGTATAAACACATTATGTGTACAAATGAAGCTACATATGGAATACAGCATGAATCTTTGAAAGATATACTGTTCACACATTTTTAGTTATTGACAGTATAAACTAAAATTAACCCCAAACTTCACATGTTCCTGACAGAAATTCACTGACACAAATTAAAATATCTTTAAGAGTTGTATATATATATATATTGACTGTAAAGATGCAAACAAATAAACCTCTTAGAAAAACATAATAGGAGTAAATGGAGGATAGATACTTACTGTATTGTTTTTTCTGACAGCAGAAATAAATGGAAACACAAGAAAAAAAGGCAATGATGTAATAAAAATTGAAAAATAAAAATGTGAAAGGAAAGGAAATAAAGGGTGAAGGTGCACAGCATTCTATGATGTACCTTGAAGCCAGTCTACTCCTTCTTGCAATCCTTCTCCCTTTATGGCATCACTAGCACTGAAATAAAATTGAAAGAAACATCCAATTCATAACATTACAGAACTATAAGAAAATGTTGTCATAATGGAAATTTAATACATTTTGGTAATCATACATTTCTAAGCAAAACTGGTAGCCACTGAAACTGAATGTAAATAGTAAATAATTATCTGAGTGCTCAGGAGCAAGACATTGGAAAAGTATGTAACTAAATGTTATTATTCAAGAATATTATTCAGCCTGACATTAACAAAGCATATGTTTAGTTATTTTTCTAATGGTAGGAAACTATATAGCCCATACTATTTTTTCCCAGACCCAAGGGCTTACACAATAGCATTTATTTGCTAAGATTGTTTGACTTAAGTTGTAATGCAATTATAGGATGCAATGCCTTTATTCTGAAATGGGTTTTGATATCTATGTGACATAGTCTGTAATTATAACTTTGGTAAAATGGTTAAAAAAAAAATCCCAGTAAGTTTCAGTCATTGCTTCATCTTTACTGGCTGTAGGAAGATGGATAGATTATTTAATAATTCTGTTCTCAGTTTTAGCATATATAAAACAAGAGAATATTACTGTTGGCCTTATTATGGTTACTGGGAGAATGAAGTATCTGATATGTAAATGTATATAAAACATGGCCCTAGCATTGTCTTTCCATTCTTAAGAAAATCAATTTAAATACATTTTTAGATACTACTTTATAAATAATCAGAATTAAGTTTTTAAATTAAAAATAATAAAATAGAGGATTTTAAGTATTAAGATGTAGATTGATGGGATTTCTCATGTTACTAATCTAGTTGTTTTCTTTCAAAAGATAATTGATTAATAGTCATTGGTATAATTAGAGATTCTGAAGAACTATAGTACCTTTTAGTAAACTAAAGAATGATTTTAAGATAGACTAAATGACCTAAAAGAGTTAACTTGATTGAAATTAGAAGATAAATTATTTCCAATTAATATTGAGTAAGAATATGACTCAGAATTTTTTTAAAAGGTAGAAACAAACAGCATGAGATGTACAATTATTCAAAGAAAATTATGTAATATCCTATCAAGTGCAAAATTTAGTAACTGCAATATTTAAATCAAGAAAGATCGATGTACTTTTTTTTACCACACACTTATAGTTACAAACAAGTAATACAAATGAAGAAATCCTTCCTTTTAGGCAGAGGAAATTCTGCATATTTTCTTCATAAATCCCAAATGTCTCAAGGAAAGAGAGATGTGTTTGAGATAGGCAGTGGTTCAGTCCTGAGTAGAGATGTCAGAGGTCCTGTGTACTAACATCTGCAAAGGACTTTCTAAAACCCTTATCCACACTATTACATTTAAACAAACAAACAAAAAAAGTACTGTGTTTTATTGAGTAATGTGGCTATATAACAGCATTTGTTCTTCAGAGGTAGAGCTACTGGTTCAAAACTTTTCAGATGTTCACACCCACCACCAAGGTACTCATAGTCCTCCATCATACTATATACTATTTCTTTCAGTACCAAGTAAAGTTCTTAAAGTTCTTTTCAGTTCTACTACCTTTTTGCTTCATATTCTCGTGCTTCTTCTAGACCAGCTAAATTCTTTGCCTCTATGTTCAATCTTTTTCGTGAGCGCTTTCTCTGTATATATATATATACATATATACACACACACACCTAAAACATCACCTTCTTATAAAAATGGGAAAACTGGCCCTCCCTGGTGGCGCAGCGGGTTAAAGCACAGCACGAAGAAGCTAAAGCCACTTCCGCATGAGTTCGATCCCCGCCTGCCCCGGAGGAGATCCACATGGCGAGGCAGACCTCTCCTGACCCGCCCGCTGCTCCCCTCAGCAGTGTACTTCGTCGATCTGCCTGTTCTGCTCCCGACTCTGTCCCTGGTGAATCCTCTCACCCTCCGCATCTCTGGCCTGTACCCCAGTTCTGTATGAATAAATAAAATCTTTAAAAAAAAAAAAAAAAAGGAAAACTAGCAAGAATAGGGCAACCTACAGCAGGGAGAGGTAGGCTGGAAGGAAAGGCACTTATAATACTATTTAATACTTATGGTTATTCTTAGAATGTTTTGGCAGAAATGTTTGTAGTTAAATGTAATAGTAAAAAATTGCTTTCACAATAAAGGATATATAAAAACTTCAGATACTACTTATGACATATAATTACTAGTATTTTCAAATGCTATCAATATTTGATATTTGTTTATATTTTCATTTAAACAAATATTTGTCATGCATTTATTAAACATCAGGTTTTATTATAATTCCAGGGTTTTACAGAGTAAACAGAAGACATTACACGTCAACAGAAAAATAAAACAAAATCAGGAAAAAATAACAGGTAAGACATAGTTATATTTTTATGGAGTTATGAGGAAAGTTCTCTCTCTCTTGAAGGAAGGAAAATAGCAACAGAAATATTATTTTGGAGAATGATTTAGTCAAAGAGAAGAACAAGTGGGAATTGTGGTTGGTTGATTCAGTGTGCAAAAGGAAATTAGTGTGGTTGAAACTGAGTAAATTGTTGAAGTTATTCTTTCAAAGAGTTGCTTACATGTTCTTACTCCAAAATTCTGATAAGATTTTAGTAGTAATATATTCGTGAATTACTGCAATGTCACAGTTTGATAAAACAAAGTCATTAGCTTACAACCTACATATTAGGTCACTTATAAAATAAGGTTTTAAATAAAAGAAAAAACATGAAGTTTTGATATATTTCTTTAGAATGAGAAAAAGTAAATGTAAACTTTACCAAATATGCCATGGTTTGTCTTTGATGTTCTCTAAACACAGCAACTGAGACACTTTTACAGAAGTCACTGCATCTCTAAGATCCATTTTGTTTGCAAAGAATAAGATTGGTATTCGGCGATGCTTAATATCTAAAAGAGAAAATAAGGCTATTATCACAATTTGAGGCTTTGTAGGTCATTTTTTCTAAATTCTTAAGTTGAAAATCTACAAAAATTGTTTTCTAACCATTTCATCCTATAACATGTACCCACACACGACTATTTAAAGAGAATGTCAGGTATATATTTGAACAATGAGAATTAAAGAAGAAAAACAACTTTCTAAATACTATCAACCCTTAGGTTGAAGCTTTTTTTAAAAAATATTCACTTATAAATTTTTACATACTGCCTTCCTTCCTTTTCCCCTCCCACCCCCCCCCTTCCTTCCTTTCTGTGTAAAACTGGGATGTTTCCCTAGAAAGTCAAATCATAGCATCAATTTCTTTACATTGTAAAGAAATTGTAAATAATTATATGTTGTCCTATAAAAAACCAGTATCAGACTATTCTTGCTGTTTTAAATCTTTTGCTTTTTACTTATTTGCCTCGCTACAAAGTTGCCCTGTATTAGCACTTACTGAGCAGTTTCTTCATTATTTCATTAATATTCTTTTAATACTATTACCAATATTTTATCAGTACCCATTTGAGATACACACACACACACACACACACACACACACACATATGTATATGTTGTTGCCAATATTTAAAACTATAGAATTTACAACTGCTTTAAAAATATAAAAAATGCGGCCTTCCCTGGTGGCGCAGCGGGTTAAAGTGCAGCACTAGGAGGCTGGGGCCACCTCAACATGAGTTCGATCCCTGCTGTAACCCCCGGAGGTGGTCCACATGGTGTGGCAGACCTCTCCTGGCCCGCCCATTACTCCCCTCAGCAGTGTGCTTCCTCTGTCTGCCTGTTCTGCTTCCTGCTCTGTCTCTGGTGAATTCTCTCGCCACCCCTGCACCTCTGGCCTGTACCCCAGTTCTATGTGAATAAATTAAAAATATATATATATAAAATGCAAAGATAAATAGAAAGATGTGTAAGACCTCTACATAGAAACTGTGGAAGATAGAAAGGAAGTGAGGTGATGTATTACATCCATAATTTGAAATACTCAATGTTAAATGCAATGCTAAGATGTCAATTACCCCAAATGCAATTTAAACAAAATCTCAACAGGTATTTTTCTAAAAGTTTACAAATTAATTTAAACTAATTATTTATGAATATGAAGAACCTAGAACTACCAAAGTAATCTTGAAAAAGAGGTCCCAGATAGGAGGATTTATTTACCCTATGTGATTTATTACAATTCTCTGTAAATCAACATGGCATGAAAGGACATAAAAGAGATCAATGGAATAGAACAGAGTCCAGAAATAAATCCACATATACATCATCAAATGATTTGGTAAAGTTGAAATCAAATTATTTTGGCATGTAATTCAGTGGAAAAGAAACTTTTCAAGAAGTGAATTTGGGGACAATTGGTTTATTTGTATGAAAAAAGCATAAAGTTTATTCAAGATGGGTCCCAGACCTAAACATTGAATTAAAAACTTAGGTCTACTAGAAGAAAACATAGAGAACTATCAGTATTAGAGGAAGTTTCTTACAGATTACACAGAAAGTCTATATATAAAGGAATAAAATCAAACAATTAGATTTAATTAAAATTATATACACATATTTAAGATATTGGGAAGAATGTTTTGGTATAGGGGTTGGCCTACAGAAAGGGATCACAGCGGATCCCTCACATACAACTTGCATGCTGGCAGCACTAAACCTTTGGAAATGATCTTTCAGAGCCTATGACCCATGTTCCTCCCTACCTATTACTCTTTACTGGTACCAAGGTACCAGTGTCTTATCAGTTTATCAGGTGCAGGGGTGGAGGTCAGAAATAAGATACCTAAAGATCTTAGTTAAAAAGACTAAGATTATTTCTAGCTATTTGTGGTAGGATATACTGTCATTTGTTAAGAAAAGGAAACCCCTTTCAACACATAAAACCTAAGTGTGAAAGGACAGAAGAATTCTGGAGCAAAAATCCCTGAGAGAAGTTTCAATTCCACAGAACTGTAAAATGTGCCTGAAGAGTTTAACAAGTAACTGTAATAAACATGCACACGGAATTAAAAAAAACAATGAATGATGAAAAATAGGAACAGTAAAACAGTAAAATTGGGAAAACACGAGACTATTACAACTATAACTAATGGATCTAAAAATATTATAGCTGAATTGAAAAATATAATAGAAGGGCTCTACAGTAGACATAAGAAAAGTAATGGAAAATTAATGAGCTTGAAGGCACAGTGGTGAATACCCAAACAGAACACCAAAGTGGGAAAAGAAAACAGGAGACTAAAAAAACGTTGGTACATTTGCATAATAGACTATTACACAGCAATAAAAAAAGAATAAACAAATGATGTTCAACAACTTGGGTGACTGCCAAAAACATTATGGTGAATGAAAAAAATTAAGACAAAGTATATATTTTCCCCTTATTTATATAAAATTATAAAACTGGTAAAGTTAATGTAGTGATAAAAATCATTACGTTCTTCTAGCACCAGGTATGGGGTTTTAGAGAAATTTTCATGACAGGGAATGCTGCTTCATGAGTGCACGCACTTATCAAAACCACTGAACCATATACTGCATATCTTCAGATCTGTGCATATACTTTGGGGGAAATAAAGGTCAGAGACCTGGAAAATGTTGCAAAAACACTTTGAAGCTTAAAAACTATATGGGTTTGTAGGTAAAGATATAATGAATGCTGCATGACTACTCTTTTAAAATTTAGGTTATAACTAAAAGATAATTGCAGTGTAAGCAATGTTTTTTGATGACACCAAAGAATAAAACATCACATAAAAACATAATCTAAAATACAGCTATCACAGACTAAAAGACACAGACACACAGACACAGGCTGACACAGAGATCAACACAAACACATACCTGGATGATTCAGAAGAGTATCGAGTTCTTCTTTGGCCACAACCATTCTTAATCTATCACTACTATCAATGACAAAAATAATGGCTTGTCCTTCTCTGTCTCATACAAAGAATGAGAAAATGTAAAAATAAACATATTTCCATGTTTACTATATTTACATTATGCAACCTACATATTATTTTTTCATGTCCTATATCTACTTGTTATTTTGTTATTGACTTTGATGCTGTTTCTTACTAATTTATACAAATGATTACCATATTAGCTATTAGTTATAATTCATGTAAAATAATCTCTTTCAACTGCAAAATATGCTAAATTTAATGACTTTGAAATTATTTCATAATTTAGAAATATTACAAGGAAAACCATCTTACTATTACATAGTTACAATCATGATTAGTATTTTGATATAAATCAATTTTGACACTGTTATATTCACATTTTAGTATGTACAACAGAATTTAAACAGCATCCTGCAGTTTTGTACCCTGCCTTTCTGCTACATGTGTACATTCCTTTGATATTTTTTTACAGTATAATATGAACTATTTTTTATATGAAACATTATATAATATATATATATATAAAATATATATATATATATAAAAAGCCATATACCAGTGTTTAAATGCACATGTTCTTGTATGTGCACTGAGTGTCACAGACACATAAGTATATGACAAAATATTAGTAGTAAGTTTCTTGAATCAAGATTACAAGTAGCTTTTATTTTTTATTTATTTTTTTTAAAGATTTATTTATTTGTGCATACAGAACTGGGGTACAGGCCAGAGGCTCAGGGGTGGTGAGAGGCTTCACCAGAGATAGAGTCGGGAACAGAACAGGCAAATCAATGAAGTACACTGCTGAGGGGAGCAGCGGGTGGGTCAGGAGAGGTCTGCCACACCATGTGGTCACCTCCGGGGCAGGTGGGAATCGAACTCATGCGGAAGTGGCTTTAGCTTCTCAGTGCTGTGCTTTAACCCGCTGCGCCACCAGGGAGGGCCACAAGTAGCTTTTATTTTATTCTATTTGATTTTTTTTAAAGCTAATGATCAGCCACAGAATTAGTTTAAAGATTCACTTACACATCATTTCAAAAATCACTGATTATACTTATTTTTTAATGGTTTAAAGCTTTCCAATACCTGGATATGTCATCAATTGTGTCGAACTTCTATTATTGGGTCTTTAAACTTTTCAGTTTTAATTATTATGAAAAATTTGGGGATAAACACCTTCTAAATACATTTTCAAAATTTCTTGATGCTTTAAGGTTTTTCTTAGGAGTCATCTTTCCAGGAAGACATATAATTTAAAGTTTGAGATAAACTTTGACAAAAAATTCTCCACAAATGCCAGATCAAGTTGTACTATCACTACCAGTACTTTTCTTATCCCTTGCAGGCAGTCATACTTTTTTCAATTTTGACCACCCTAATAGTGTATTATTTCAGTTTGTTCTTCATTAATTGCTAGTAAAATTCAATGTTTTCATACATTTACATTTTGGTGAGTCAATTTCTATAGTCATAAATTGATATTTTAAAACTTAATGTATTAGAATCAAATAAATATATTTGATATAAATATATCAAAAATATAAAAATGAAAGTTTCCAATGCTTCTTTCTCCTATTAGTAAAAAAAATGCAGATTATCATGAAAACTTTAAAATGTTCAGTCATGCTTATGAGTATTTTATTGTATTTTATTTATAGAATTTATTCTAAGGAAAACATGTAATCCTCAAAAGCTGAGACTAGCATTTATGTCCAAAAATACAGAAATGATTAAGCAAATTTTGGTATATGCATTAGGCAAACATTAGAGTTATACTTATTGAATATGTATCCTGACTTACTCTTAACTGAAAGGCAGGATAGGAAAATGTATATGGCATATAATTTAGAAGTCTCCTTTCTAAATTATGTAACATTTATTTATGGATTTCAAAGAGAAATATACCAACAAGATTAAAATGATAAACTTAGTATGGTTTACAGAAGACATTTTTTTATATTCTTTTCTGTATTTTTCAAACATTAAATTATATATTTATTTTATTTTATTCTTTGTTGTATTTTATGAGTACTTCACAAAAACTATACATATAATATAGAAGCATTAAATGACAAAGCAAACTTACCTTATAATCTTGCAATTCCAAAAATAAATGTTATGAATGTTTTGGACAATATTCAACTCACTATTTTCTTCTTTTCATATACATTAAGTACATATTTATAATAATAGTAATATTTTTCTTTATATAAAGAAGATATACAAAAATGTCACCATGTACCATGCTTAAAATATTCTTTTATGTTTATATTTGCCCACTAGTCCTAGTCAAAGGATAGTTCTGAAATGTAAAATTGTTGGCAGAGAGCATGAACATTTTTCCTTTTAACAGATATTGATAAATTAACCTGAAAAATGTTACATACCCATTCTAAGAATCACTCATTTTGCCAACAGTAGTTAATTGTTTTAATCCCTTTCAATTTAATAGATTAAATGCATTTGTTCTTTTACATTCATAAAATTACAAAAACACTGGAAATAAATGTACTACTATTATAGACTTCTCAACATTTACCATTTTACCTACAACTTATCTAAAATATTCCTGAGCTCATTTACTTCTACCAAATTGTGGGAAAAAAAAAAGTTAAAAATCACAGCAAAATTCTTTTGAAGTAATGATTTCTATGTATTTTTATTCCTATTAAAGCAATTAATATTATTTTTTAAATTAAATATATATGTGTAATACATATTTTTAAAAAGGATCTGGTTAACAAATAATGGAAATGAAATTTAAAAAAATCTTGCCTAAAAATTCAAGTTTCATTAAAAAACAACAACAACAAAAAGTAAGCTTCTCTTTTCCCTACAAAACTTAATGCAAGATCCCACAAACACAAGTTTTTGACAAGATCCCACAAACAAATTTTGACACTTTTCTCTTTCTCTCAGATTTCCTCTTGATATACATGATTAAATAGGCCTTCTGTCTATTAACATATTCATTGAAAAGAATGCCTGGAATAAATCTTCTCTGGCTCATCTGGGAAATCCAACATTTCTTCCCATATTACAGGAAAGAACTATCAATCAAAATTAAAGCCTGTTCTGGCTTTAATTAATGGCACACCATTTCAAGTCATAATTACAAAAGTGCATTTAAATAAGGGATACTTTTCCAAGGTACAGACTCCAAAAGTGAGTTATTCTTAAATATAGGAGTCCAGGCAAATACTGGATATTAATGAGTAACTATACAACACCAAATGTGTATCTTGAGAGGGTATGACACATCTGAATCCTAGCAACTTGATAACAATCTGAAGTGATCATCAATAGCCTGACTTAGATATGCTTTTAAAAGCATCTTTTTTAAAAAAGATTTATATATTTATTTTTGCATAGAAGAACTGAGGTACATCCAGCGGTGTGAGAGGATTCACCAGAAACAGAGTGGGGAGCAGAACAGGCATATTTACTGAAATACACTGTTGAGGGGGGCATTGGATGAAATAAGAGAAGCCTGCTGCAGCCATTTGTGCGTTAGCTTCCTGGCCAGGGACTGAACTCAGGTCATTACGGTGATGGAGCTGAGACCTAGCCCCCTAGGCCATTAGGAAAGCCCTGAGAAGTATTTGTTTAGAATTATTTGTGGAACAAATGGTAAACTGTTAGGCAGTTTGTACTAAAATGAATAGTTACTCATCAGTATGTCCAGTATCATACTAGGCCTTGAAAAAAATAATTTGAATAAGAAATAACCCCTGCCCTAGAGGAGTTCATATTCTCATCAGGGAAGTATCCATGGAATATGATTTTAAGATGTAATGACTATGATTACAAATCTATGAATGAACAAATTACTGTGTGAGTTCTGGTCAAATAGTGAAACTTCACAGAAGAGGGTACTTTTAAGCTAATTTTTAAAGTATAGATAATTAACACCTTAGACTACAAAGAGGTTAGGTAGGAGACAGCATTACAAACAAAATTTGAAGTACCTGAGCATTTGAGATAATAATGCATGATTGTACCTTATTTTTTTAATTAGAAAATGTACTCACATTATACGAAAAATTCACACTGCAACCCTATCATGTAATCCTTTGGATTTCTAATCATTTTTTTGTTATCAAAATAGAACCATCAGTTAATCAACATTTACAAACATACTTACTTATAGTAGTGTTCCCAGAGATTTCTGTATCTTCCTTGACCTGACATGTCAAACACTGTAAAAGACAAACTACAAAACAAACAAAAAAGATGACATTGTAAGTTATTAATTTAAAATGTAACTTATACTTAAAATTTTACATTGTTTTCAGTCAAAGAAAACACCCTTGAGTATATATATGATATTCAACTTTGGCTAATTTTCATGTACAAGTGCCACAAAATGAATTTATTTAACACAGCATTTTGTATAACTGACATATAAAATATGTTTTCTTTGCTAGTGAGGTTATAAGAATTTGTCTAAAATTTAAATCTTGAGAAACAGTCCTGAGGTAGTGAGACAAACATTTTTAATGCCTACAATTACATGAAACAACAAATTACTTTTTCTAAGAGTGGGAGGAATAACTAGGTAGATCAAATATTATCATCCTCACCCCAACTCTTTGTCACAAGTATGATAAAGTATATTACCTGGATGATTTGAATTTCTCTATGCTGAATCCTATTGTTGGAACTATATCTTGAGATTGAGCCTTAAGGGAAAAGACAAAACTTAGAAATTCATAATTACCAATGATGAATTTTTCCATTCTTAAAAATAAAAGCATTCAGCTTTTGGCCCTCCCTGGTGGCGCAGCGGGTTAAAGCACAGCACTGAGAATCTAAAGCTGCTTCCGCATGAGTTCGACTCCCGCCTGCCCCGGAGGT